TACTTCTTAAGCCTCTAATTAAGGTTACGCTTTACTTAGGCGGCCGCCTACGAGTACTATACGACGAGGATATTAAAGTCGTCTTTAGTAATTAAGTAGTACTCGCCTTTAGTCGTAGGGCGGCGGTATCTATATAGATTATTAGTAACGGCTTTACGAACACTTTAGGCGAGTATATACCGTGTTTAAGTCGCTATACTCGCTATTATCGCTATTATCTTTAGATTACGAGTAGTACGAGTAGTTTAAAGCGAGTACGAAAGTAGCGGCGTATAAAGTTATACTAGAGCGATAATAGGCGTTTAAATAGTATTATTTTCAGTGAAGGAGAGGTTTAAGTGAAGCGAGAAGTAAAGTAAGGTCTATCTAATAACAAGGATTAAGGGTCAATCGAGCACCTGCCTAGGTCATGTAGGTTGAGATATTATTAGGTGCGGCCTGCCGTCACTTTCGGGATGAAGTCCTGGCGATCGCCGAACCTTGCCGGGTCTTTACATCAAGACTTCAGGAAATCCAGCTGCACCTCCTACGAACCGCATGTCGCCCACTGCACGTTCCCAATGCTTCAGCGCCTGCCTCTTACGGCGTCTCTAACTGCACTCGATACTGGATCGATATGTTTGCGATGTGCCAGGCGGATAGCGCGACAAAATGCAACCCTGAGACGACCCTTCTCTAATGCCGTCCGAGCGAGGCAGGTTGCCATTGCGAAAGATGAGGAGGTGGACAAGAGGTTCTTCTGGGCGAATGCGTTTCATACCAGCAAGCAGAAAGAGTCAGAAATATCAGAGAAAGCACACTCGGTGAGGGAAGGGCTGCGAGAAGCACAGGATGCCACACCAGCTGCTTCACAGGGGCCATTGGCCACAGCTATTGAAGAACCACCACATCGCCGGCGGAAACGGTTAAAAGCAGCTGCGATTGTGGACAACACTGTAGAAAAGCCTCTCCCACCAGATGCGTCGTCGACGCTTTCTCGAGATGCTGCTGCGGCACCAGCGAAGTCGCTGCGAAGGCTGATCTCGACATATCTCGCCTTGTCCAAGCCACGACTGGCCTTCCTTATCGTTCTTACGACAACCGCATCATATTCCATATATCCTGTCCCGGCGCTTTTAAGTACATCGGTCACGGATGCGCCCTCACTCAGCACGCTCACGCTGCTGTTCCTCACCACTGGAACATTTTCATGCATTGCATCAGCCAATGCATTAAACATGCTGTTCGAGATCAAACATGATGCGAATATGAGCCGGACGAAGAACCGGCCGTTGGTACGAGGGCTTCTCACCAAAAGAGCGGCAATACTCTTCGCGATCGCAACAGGGATATTTGGCACTGGTCTGCTGTGGTATGGAGTGAATCCTACCACTGCAGTTTTGGGAGCCAGCAACATCGCGCTTTACGGCTTCGCCTATACATTTTCCAAGAGAATCCATCCTGTCAACACCTGGGTCGGGGCGATCGTGGGCGCTATTCCACCCTTAATGGGCTGGTGTGCTGCGGCAGGGCAGTACAGCTCGACGGATGCATCCCTCACAAACCCTGACTCTATCGCAAAGGAGTTCAAAGAGCTTCTATTCACAGAACAAGCCATTGGAGGATGGCTGATTGCGGCTCTGCTGTTCGCGTGGCAATTTCCCCACTTCTTTGCGCTCTCGTACGGCGTGCGGCACGAATACGCAAATGCTGGATACAAGATGCTTACGTCGTCCAACATCCCGATGGCAGCACGCGTTTCGCTTCGTTACAGCTTCGTCATGTTTCCCATTTGCGCCGCACTGAGCTACTACGAAGTGACAGATCCAGCTTTTGTTGCTACGAGCAGCGTGATCAACGCATGGATGCTGCGGGAGGCGGTCAAGATGTGGAGGCTCAACGGAGAGAAAGGCTCGGCAAGGGCTTTGTTCTGGGCCAGCGTGTGGCAACTGCCTATTGTGCTGGTACTGGCCATGGTGCATAAGAAAGGGCTATGGGGACGAGTGTATGCGAGTGTGTTTGGTGAGGGGGATCTCGACGAATGGGAGGAAGAGGCATTGTAGGATAACGGTACAGGCACTGCTCACTTTAGCGGCACAATCACATGCTTCGAGGCTGTGTTCAGCTCCAATGGCGCACGTCCTTCCAGATAGGCGAATATCCTTTCGGTGATGTAGATGATGAGTGACATCAGAAAAGGGGTCCGGTGAGAGTAGGAATGTCGAGTTGCGTGTCGTGTTCACGGGAGAGGCCGGCAGGTTTTACCATGACAAGCTGCCTTGACGCTGCGTCGGTGGGGATATCTCAGGTCAATCTGCGAACGAGACCCTCTTAGATTGAACCTCTCCCGTCAAACACATCACCAAAGTACGTCGCCGCCTACAACATCATATTGTAGTGTTTTGAGAAGTTGTCGCCTTGTGGCCGCCCGCGCGCATATCGGCGGCTTTTGCCGATGACTCTTCTGACGACGCCGCATCTAGAGCTGCCGATTTCGTCTGCTACAAACACCTCCACCTCACCAACCCCCTCTATACCACCACCGCCGCCAAGAGACCATCTGCACCGCCATCGCGCATCGCCGTCCACTATAGCCAGTCCTTGATCGCACCACCACTCTGGCCGGCCGGCGAGACTACGCGGACCCTCCCCCAGCCTACGACATCCTCACTGGCGGAGCAGGCCACCATCACCTACATGCAAAGGCTATAGCGTCCGCCTCAGCGCAAGCCCACTGTCTGGCTTATTTGGCCCGACTCTTCCGCCCACCTTAGCATCAGCGACGAAAAGAGCGCATCACGGGACCATCTCTAGCTTATCAAACGACCAGCTATTCTCTTGGCTTGGGCAGCGAGCACCACTAAACCCATCCAGAGCCTTCGATATCGCATCGCCAGCATGGGTAATCAGCCGTCAAAAGAGAAGGACGGCAAGAGCAGCGGCTCACAAACACCTACGGGCCCGAGCCTCGACTCGTACCCATCTTTCAGCAAGTCGGATACCAAGGAATCAGCTCGCTCCTTCAGAAGCGCGCTGCGCACTAAGATACCGGGCAAATTGTCTACAGACAGCCCACGAGCTTCTACCACACAACTGGCAGGCGACTCGTCCACCACCAGCGTCGACAATGTGGATGCGCAGTCGGTCAAGTCAGCCACGAGTGGCAAGTCAGATAAGAGACATTCGAGGAATCTCTCGTCGGACACACCTCGCAGAGGCAGCTTGGCAGACGAAGATGAGCCACAACCGCCTCCCTCCCCGACCATGTCGGCTACTGTAGGAGGTGGACACAGCGAGATCGAAGAGGCGCAGCGAAGTGGGGAAGTTGACGCAGTTTCAGATGCACCTCCACAGGGAAACATCCATCAGTCGCACAACAAGGAACCCACGGAATCCATCCTGCTCAAGAAGAACGTGCCGAGTCAAGGAGCAGCTGCAGCTCTGGCCATCGCCGCAGAACCAGAACCTCGCGCTAGTACTGGAAACATGGAGATCGGCGCTCTCAAACCGTCCGACCTTGACGACATGATCAAGCGCCTTGTAGACGCAGGCTACGCAGGTAAAGTGACAAAGACTGTTTGTCTCAAGAACGCAGAAATCACCGCCATATGCAATGCCGCCCGAGAATTGTTCCTCTCCCAGCCGGCGCTTCTGGAGCTGTCGCCACCAGTGAAGATCGTCGGCGATGTTCACGGACAGTACACAGATCTCATTCGTATGTTCGAGATGTGCGGCTTCCCACCTAACAGCAACTTTCTCTTTCTCGGCGATTACGTGGACCGCGGGAAGCAGAGTTTGGAAACAATTCTGCTTCTGCTATGCTACAAGCTGCGATTCCCGGAGAACTTCTTCCTACTTAGAGGCAACCACGAATGCGCAAACGTGACGCGGGTCTACGGCTTCTACGACGAATGCAAGCGTAGATGCAACGTCAAGGTTTGGAAGACCTTTGTGGACACCTTCAACACCCTCCCAATCGCAGCCATTGTCGCAGGCAAGATCTTCTGCGTTCACGGCGGGCTCTCTCCATCCTTATCCCACATGGACGATATCCGTGGGATCGCCCGACCTACCGATGTGCCCGACTACGGATTGCTGAACGACCTACTGTGGTCTGATCCGGCCGATATGGAAGCAGATTGGGAGGCAAATGAGCGAGGTGTTAGCTATTGCTTCGGGAAGAAGGTCATCATGGAATTCTTACAAAAGCACGATTTCGACCTGGTTTGCAGAGCACACATGGTGGTTGAGGATGGGTATGAATTCTTCAATGAGCGAATTCTGGTCACAGTCTTCTCTGCTCCCAACGTGAGTCACCAAGTCGTGGAGAAGCACCCAAAAAGCTAACCTCGTGATAGTACTGCGGTGAATTCGACAACTGGGGAGCCGTTATGAGCGTCTCCGGCGAGTTGCTGTGTTCATTCGAGCTTCTGAAGCCTCTTGATTCTAGCGCACTCAAGAGCCACATTAAGAAGGGGCGGAACAAACGACAGAATATGCTCAACAGCCCAGTAAGTTTTAAGACTATCACATGCGTGTAGAAGGATGCTGACCGAATTCAGCCGGCGAGTCAATTCCCGCAAAGCTATTAGACTGCACCACGATCAACATGATGGAGACTCATGGCACGGAATACACCGCCAACCACCACTGGTCAAGGCTAAACAAATGACGAGGCAATCACTGCTTTCAAGCGACAGGGCTTTACTGGCCACCCGAACTCGAAGACTCATACATGAGCTTCTGATTTCCGCGTTCCAGGTAGGCAATATCATCTCTTTGCAAGACGAATGCGAACAGAGCGGCGGCGCGGCGGTACTAATGGAATTGGGGGAATCAAGCGTTTGAGGAGTACGGAAACGTCAAATTGTTGGGAAGAAGTTGGGTTCGATACCGAGGTCACATTGATGTGCAAAGGGTGGGGCGTTCAAAGGCAAGCACGGTTGGGACACAGTATCCTGCTGCCAGGCTGACTTGACTGCAGTCAGAGAGCAGCTCGAGGATCAGCAGAAACGGGAATGAGAAGTACGAGTCTAGAGATGGGATTCAAGGGTTGATGGTTTTCTGGCGTTTTAATGACTGTCCTGCGAGTGGGCCTGAAAGCAGGTGCGCTCTCTGTATTTGTTCTTTACTCCTCTAACTGAGACGAAGGACGTCGAATTGACGATGATGCTGCTTACTTAGTACGTAGTGGGTTTTGGTATTGTTTGCTCTTGTACTATTGTCGCCACTCTACGAGAATGACTTCGTGTTGTCACCAGACAGTACCTTCAGAGACTGAAGATTGTCCCTCAAGAAGATATGCTGGCTTCGTTCAAGCCCAGATGTGTTCAAAAGCTGTTGGAGACAACGATCTGCCAGATGTGATGCATAGTTGATGTCGAGGGCGTGACTGGCACAAGTGCTGGGTAGAGTAAAGGCTGCCTGCTCTCGCGTGTCTCTCGAAGAGAGCCTCGCGTTACCACAGTGGCCAGCACACGGACTGACAGCTCACAACGCAGGTCTGGCATGCGCACAAACTTCCTCGAGGGAGCCACACATGATGGTCGAATCATGCTACAAACAACATCTAGAAGCACCGGTCACCATGTTGGAATGAACCATTACCTCTATGAACCAGAAGGACCTCGAAGTGGAAAAGCCTTCTATCGAAAGACTGCGTGCGAACAAAGAACGATCTATAATATGAGAGAGAAGATTACACCAACTGTCAGCTCGGTGCTCTTGTGAGACCACAGCTGGTCCTGCGTTGCAATGGCTGGTCGTACATGCTGGCAGCCGCGACGGTACTTGAGGCTGATGGTGTCTGCTCTGGTCTGTTTTGCTTTCCTGGCTCAGGTTTCGGTTCTCAATACGGCGACGACGGCGACAGCGACAGCGACGCTTTCCGATCAGAATGCAACGGCTCGATATGCTACGAGGCAGCATGATGGACGCAATGTCGACGTGCACAACCAAGTCGCTGCGGTCAACGCAGGACATGGGGTTCAAGATTGGAAAACGCTCGCCGAACATGGCCTCGAAACACTCTCACCAAGCCCACACATCGACCACGATGAACTACCTACCCTCCTTACCAAGCGTATCCCACCCCTTCCCTTCATTGACACCGCCTACAAACAAGCCAAAAAGAAGGGCGAGAAGCTCCTCTGCGCACTCAAAGACCCCTCTCATGCCGGAGCGGCGGCGACATCTGGAATAGCATCGAGCAGTTGAGTGAATGGGGCTGGGTGAGGGATGTGGATGAGAGGGATGACGAGAAGGATTATTCTCACGTTGTGAAGGCGGTGAGTTTGGTTTGTTGAGGAGGTATAATGTTTGCTGATGCTGGTAATGTAGTGTCCTGGATTGGAACAGATTCTGGGGACGGACCTGACAGGCGGCAAGCAGAGGACGTGGGTTCACTCTCAGAGAGTTGAGAGGGAGGGTGTTACTTACTTTGTGAGTCTCGAATCGACCCCTTCCAACAAATGCTGACGAGACAGGCCACGGGAGGCGTCTACACGAACGTCTACTGGCCCTCGCAAGGCATCCTCATGGCCAACGACAACTACTCCCCCGCCTACCAATCCTCGCAAGGCAAAGGCGAAAAAGTCCCCTTCAAAGACGAGAAGTAAGTGAGCCCCTCCCCCATCCCCCGCCACAACCCAAACTAACCACTCCTTCTCAGAGGCACACCCCTCCCCCTCCCCGCCCTAAAACAATGGTCCACCATCAACGCCCTAACCTACGCCTCCCCACCCACCCCACGCTCCCCGCTCCGCTTCATCCTCCGCCGCAACATCCAGAACCCCGCGACTAAAGACCTCATCTCTACCGTTCTCAAGAAGAACAAAGCGGATGATGGAGGGCTGCCGCCGCTTTGGCCGGGTGTGGTGTTGACGGAGGGGGATAGTGGGTTTGCGGCGCTTGTGGCGAGTCCGAACCTGGGGGGTGTGGTTTGGTTGTTGATTCAGCATGGGGATGGGGTGGGAGCGAGGGATATTCGGAGTGTGAGGGTTTGGAGGGATGGGGGTGCGCAGTATGCGCCGACTTTGATGGTTGAGGTTGGGGGTTGACGGGCGTTCGAAGAGAACTCAGTATGGGCGTTACTGCATCGAGTTTGCTACGGTACGTACATACCGAAGCACGACTGATATTGATCCTCGAGGTCGTTCGGAGACCCCTTCCCTTCAATCCCGAGCTCCTTCCCCGCCTCCTTCTTCTCGCACCAAGAGATGCGCTCTCTTCCTTTCCATCCACACACCCAAGTCTGAAGTCCCGGACATCACGGACGGCAATTTCTGTTTCTTCCAGAGTACAGATGCGAATTGATGCAACATAGCGAGTGTGGAACCGGGCCAAGACTGGACACGCGACAAGTCGTGGCTCTCGTCACTTTTCTTGGCTTTTCGAGACGACTTCAAAGGTTGTTCGCCACAGGAACTGAAGATACCCGACCACAGGGAATGAAGAAGAAAATTGAGGAAAGACACTTTCTGCTTGTAGCCTGGAACTTGCTATCAATCATGATGCCCTGTCGAGCCTGAACGTTGAACCTCACGGTTGAAATTGGGCATGAGGCGAGATCCCATCTCGAAGCCAAGGACTGAAGCGTGGCGAATGCAATGGCCCCATTGACGCCAACGAGCCAACCTCTCAGCACGAACCCACAGCGTCTTGTCTTGTTCTTGCATTGTGCGGCTGTGGCAAGCATCCTCCACAATACCTCGATAGAGCGACGGCTTTCCAAGAGAAGTATTCCTGCCCAGTCACCAAGACGGACAACACTCCATCTTCTAGCATGACATACTGCAGCCGCTCTATGAAGATGGACTACCTAACGAACATCATCATACCGAGCGCCACGTGCTCATGGCTTGCCCTGGGAGGAAAGTATAAGGGTGTACTATCATACGCTTTCGTAGGTTTCTTGTCGGCGTAGCCTCTCACTTTTCTGTCCCTTGAACCTTCTTCTCTCAAGTCATCAAACAGCATGAAATCGAAAGAGGAGAAGTCTCAAGAACATTCGCCAGACTCCCACGATGAGGTCCAACGAGTCGAGAAGGCGAGACAGAGCAACCCCAGCGACCAACACTCCGGGTTAATCAACTCCTTCACCAAGTTGGGCGACCTTCCAGAATGGACCTGGGGCGGCAGCAAACTCAGCGGCAAGGCTCTGAACCGAGCCATCTCGTGGGTAGCTTCGTGTGGCTTCTTGATGTTTGGCTACGGTATGTGACGACTCCAAGGCACGCCATCACCGCTGACCATATGACAGATCAAGGCGTTCTTTCCGCTCTTCTGACACTCGATGACTTCCAGAAAGTCCTGCCACTGATGACACCACGTTCACGGGCGAATAATCTCTGTTGGCTCGACGCCCCTGAGAACAACATTCCTGACCCTTCCATGTGCACTGGCGATTCCAATACTCAGGCTGCTGCTGTGGCTATCTACCAGGTCGGGTGCTTCCTTGGAGCAGTCCTCATTCTCTTCTACGGGGAGAAGTGGGGAAGGAAGTCGTCGACTTTCTATGGGTCGATTATCATGATCATTGGGACGATCATGCAAGCTGCTGCGTTCGACTATGGCTTGTTCGTTGCTGGGCGAGTCGTTGGAGGTATTGGTAATGGCATGGTGACTTCAAGTACGTCTACGTCTACTTCTCGGAGTTTTCATATCGCTGACATCGTCCAGCAATCCCTACCTGGCAGTCTGAATGCACAAAGCCTGAGAAACGAGGCCGAGCAATCATCACTTCTGGAGCATTCATTACGTTCGGCATCATGATAGCCTACTGGATCGACTATGCCTTCTACTTCATCCCGGCTCTGGAAAGCTACAGCTCCGTCCGCTGGCGTTTCCCTATTATGTTCCAGTCATTTTTCACCCTGCTAGTCATGTGGAGATTGCTATACCTGCCGGACTCACCTCGTTGGCTTGCGTAAGTCATCTTATCTGGAAGTTGTATCAGAGACTGACGTTTTCCAGCATGCGAGGACGATACGACGAAGCTAAGGCAGTCCTTGCCCGCCTTGACGGAGCCGACATCAACTCCGAAGCCGTCAATGTGGAGATGACCAACATCAAAGAGGCCCTCGAGGTGCAAAGCGCCGGTGGAGGCTTCAAGATGAAGGAGTTGCTCCAGAATGGTCCTAGCCAAAACTTCCGCCGGACGTTGCTGGGAGTCATGGCGCAGTTCTTCCAGCAGATTTGTGGGATCAATCTTATCGTACGTTTCGACACGTGTAGGCGTATGGGAGGCGGACAGCTGATTAAACTTTCATCATTCCAGACTTACTACGCGACCTACGTCTTTGAGAATTCTCTAGGGTTTGACGCTGGCATGTCCCGTCTCCTGGCAGCTTGCAACGGCACGGAATACTTCCTCGCCAGCCTGATCGCAATCCCCATCATCGAGCGAGTCGGCCGTCGGAAGTTGATGCTCTTCGGCGCCTTTGGCATGATGGCCTCCATGGCGATCCTCTCAGGGACATCTTCTACCGCGACGATCAACGAGTTCAACGCCCCTGTGCTAGACACGAGCTACGGCGTCATCGCTACAGTCTTCCTCTTCGGCTTCAACACGTTCTTCGCCATTGGTAAGGCCCATCGCACCGCCTCGTTCCCTGCACACACGTACTGACAACCCTCCTCAAGGCTGGCTCGGCATGACCTGGCTCTACCCAGCAGAAATCACCAACCTCCGCATCCGCATCCAAGCCAACGCCCTCTCAACCTGCTCCAACTGGCTCTCCAACTTCCTCATCGTCATGATCACCCCACCCGCCTTCGATAACCTCCGCTACAACACGTACACCATGTTCGCCGTCTTCTGCGCGGCCATCATCCCTTCCGTGTGGATCTTCTTCCCGGAGCCGAAAGGTCGGTCGCTGGAGGAGCTGGATGTGGTTTTTGCGAGTGCGTGGGAGAAAGGGGTTAGTCCTGTGAGGCAGGCGAGGGAGATGTCGAAGCTGGAGGGGAGTGAGTTGGATGCGGAGATTGTGAGGTTTTTTGGGGGTGATGTGGAGCAGGCGATGAGGAGGAACGGTGCCAGAACCTCCGCCCTTTAGAATCAGTAAATGCTATATTCAGGGCCTGCGGATGGTTCACAAAGGAATCCGTGAGTGAGGGGAATCAGCCCGGGAAATGTCGAGAAGCGTCGAGATCGAAGAGGTCTGGCAGCGAGCAGTCGAAGCCGACGTTCAGAATCATTCCCAAGTCATTGTTGTTGCGAGACGTGTCGAGGTCGAACTGCAAGAGGGTCAGTGTGACTGGTGGTTTGCTGGCTTCGGTGAGAGATCTCACCAGATCGTGGGTAAAGTCGGCGTCACGAAGGGGCGGTCCATCTTGTGCTTCAATGGCGGACGGCTCACTGCGTGAGATTGATGTGATCTCGCTCTGGTGAGCTAATCGTTCATTCGTAGAGTGGTCCGCTCCTTCGTTGCTGAGAGGCCTCGCATGGCTGGCAAGGTTCCTCGATTCTTCCAGCAGCCTTTGTGTCTCTAAATTTACGCTTTGGTCAAGCTTTCTATGACCTCGCATAGCTTTCTCCAGTAGGACCTCCAACTGCGCTCGATCATCGACATCCCGATATAGTGCCAGATACACAAGTAATATGGAAATCGCACAGAACGTGAAGTATGAAGTCGTCCAGAAGACCGTGTTGTACGTGGTATCTTCAGCGATGTCTGCTGCAAACGAGGCCATGTGCACTGCGGCTTGGACACATTTCTGAACAGCGGTAGGGGGAGGCGTCTCGCGAGACATGTTTGCTTCAGTGCGGAGGAACTCGCTGAGGAGGCTTCCACGATACATGAGCATGGTAGCGAAGTGATATGTCATTCGGACAGTCCGCTGTTGTCTATAGCGAACATTCATATGTCAGCTGGAGTGGTAAGGGGCCGTGTCGATTTGGTCTGACCGTTTAAAGCTCCAGGGAACCTCGAAGAGAGTGTTGTCATCTGAGGAGGTCTTGGTCCTATTGTCGCCAGGGTGGAAGAAAGTTGGCGTTTCTTTAAGCCAACGTTGAAGGCTCGCCTCAAATTCATGAACGTGGTCTTCGAGCCATGTTGTTTCTTGGGATGTTGCTGGATATAGCTTTCTCATGACAAGGCCAATGATCTTCACCAACCTACAATCGCCGTCAGAGAAATTTACACGAAGCCCATCCTGGATGAACCTACTTGACGTGTGCCACCATGCCCGTCATGAGCTTCCGCTCTTGTGGCTCGAGGCCCTGAGGCTCCATGGTCGAGTCTCTTGGCAAAGGGATTGTAATGTCGTCCTCGTGAATCATCATTGGGCGTCCTAGTGCGGTTGATAGATACCTATCGAGCATGAAAATAGCCCAGAAGCACGATGCCCGTATCGTCTCCTCGAAGGAATCAGCTTGAGCAGGTTGAGGATGCTGTTTCTGGAAGCCAATGATTTGACCCATTCTTATAGCCATGCCTAATGAGAGCCAAGCTGTGTTGAAGTGGTTCATCGTGAGGAGCAGCTGGCACTGTGTGATGGTCAGAATGATGTTTGAGCTTGAAGGCGAGGAAAGACGACTGGGCAACACACTTCTAGGGTGAATGCCTGCACAGCGGCTACCGTTGGTGGGAACGTTGCAGCTACTTTTGTCAAGCGTGACTTCGCTGCTCTGTACAGTCTGGTGCTGCGAAGATGTCAACTCGCGCTATCCTGCGACAGCGGAAAACACAAAAGCCTACGCTTTAGTTCTATAGGAAGAGAATTCTTTGTTCTTCCACGAAGGATACCATATACATCTGAACATCTCAGCGTTGGAAACTGCTGTGGAAGATGGACCTACCCGAGCCCAACGACAAGCAATAGCAATGACATGTTCACGTCGTCGTTGAGAAGACTTTCGTCGTCTGAGTACAGGCGGGTGACCAGAGACTGCCACTGTTGCCGTGGCACATATCGATAAGTTACTTGAGCATGCTCGGCAAAGCACTCCAGGTAAGACATTGTCGTAGTTTGATCAGGCAATACGACCATCGGGCTTTTGTCATCATCAGGAAGGACACACTCGGCCGGTTGTGAGATGTATCTTGGCATAGCGTGTCCAGCAGCGCTGAGATGTTCGTACACACGCATTAGGAAGCCTCGCGCGCTCGCATCGCCGGTAAGACTCTGTGGCGAACATTGTTGAGCAGCTACATTACCCGGCGTAGCTAGTGATGCCTGACTTCCTGCTGCATTGGTCGTCAGAGGAGACGGCTGGCCGTTACTGGTGGTCTTCCTGCGCTTTGGGGCTCTGTGGTAAGCCGTGTCGTAAGTGCATGCTGTTGCGATGCATCGTATCAGCACTCAAATTGTAGCCGCCGGAATAGTTGAAACGCATACAAGCTGCCGTTGTGACGCATTTCTGGCAAGGCTATCGAGCAAGTTCAGACGTGGCAACATGGAGTCGTCGTGAAAAGCGTACTTGCTCTCCGTCGCATCTCGACTTCCTCTTACAAATGTCGCATGCTCGTGTTACATATTTCCGTCCACTGGACATTAATGATGGCCTTGGTCCGAGCTCCTGGAAGGAAAGACCACCGGTACTGTTCATGATACCGCTGTGGCGAGCATACGAGAAAGGAATTGAAGACGAGATGGGACGGAAATTGAAAGACGATGTTCGGAAATGTGCACGCCGAAAAATCCTGGAGAAATTCACGTGACACTGTCTCAGCAATTCAGGGGTCATTTTTCTAACTAATTTGAGTCTGGTGCCCTCTACTTGTCTCACACACACACTCTCTCTCCCCGACTTCCCACTACCACCCAGTATCTCTCTCCTCCATGATCGCAATCACAGGCGTCGAATCCCTACATCTTCGCTTTATGCGGCTCACTGGTAGACTCTTCCCCAAACCAAAAGTCGAACCATCTCACGATGCCGTCCAAGCTTTGCTCCTTCACCCAGCGCTCGTATGGCTTCTCCAAATCGCCCCTCAGGGCGAAGCCATGTTGAACGCCAGAGAACAGCTGAAGATGGTACTTCTTACCGTCTTGGCGCATGATTTCCAGGGCGAGCCGCCTTGACGCGGTATCGAAAGTGTGGTCAATTTCGGAACAGGATAAGAAAAGTGGTCGCTCTAGCTGCCTGAAGTGATGCTCTTTCAAGAATGCAGGATGGGCGAAAGCTCCCACCGAGCAAACAGGCTCATTCCCATCCACAGATGCCAGAGACTTGCATACGTATGGCGCTCCAAAGCAGTAGCTACATGCTGATGAGCTAGCAGTCCGAAGTATGAGATACTGACTCACCCAACGCAAGCATATCTTGTACTTGTCGTACCAAACTGCTCCTTCACAGCAGAAATCCATTTGGGAACAACGCTGTCTGCAAAGGCAGTGTGTTTCCTCTTCCAGGCCTCGTAGTCGAATCCAGGATCGGAAGTCGTGTCCGATCGATTCCGCCTATGCTTCCATACTGGATCCTGTCGAACGGTTAGGTATGCGATTCACATCTTGGCGTAACCTCCTGGGTTCATGGTGCCCACATACGCCTCTGAAGTAGTCCAGTCCAATGGTCAAATAACCACGCTCAGCAAAGGCATCCATCACAAGCAGGCCGTTCGTGAACATGCCCCAAACATCTGGATAGTACAGCAGAATATGACGGTTGCTCTGCTCCGGTGTTGGTCTGGCCAGGTACGTCTCGACGCCAGCTAAAGTGATGAAGGATCCTTGCGGTCTGCCTGTGTGGATTGAGCCTTTCAGACAGCATTCGCCTGAAGGCTTAGCCAGAAATGGGGGATCGAATGCAGCGAAGGGACGATCCTTGGAACGCTCAGCAAGTCGCGAAGGGTTATGTTGAGAGCTGAACATGATCTCATAAGATAGTTGGATGCTTCCTAACGATGATGATGATCAGGTCCTGATGATGAATTCGTCAATGCGGAGTGAAGGAGTTACGAGTACTGCACACGAGGCAAACCTGCCAGCCGAATTCACTGCCTCAGGTAGCCTTTCCCGGAGATGCCTCTCGGAAAACGGAAATCGTTGTTTAGCAGATGTGGCAGGACAGATGCGAAAATCGGTCCTCTACTCCTCCTATGAGGATCTCGTGTTTCCTTCATCATTGAGGATGGACGACATCGGCAACTTGATCGGCACCTGAACATCGCCACTCCTCCACATGCGGAGGTCTATCTGCGGGGTTGAGACTGGGAGAAGTTGTCCAGCAACGGAATAACTGGATTTCCGGGACCCCACCGCATCCTGCAGGTTTGTCTATGGAACTCGTTCCTAGGAAGGGAACGGTGAACGAGCGGGCTCTGACTTGTCTGCTTCTCACTTCTTCGTTGGTATCTCGCGCTTTGCGGAGAAAGACATCAAGTCGTCAACAACGACAAACATTTCCATCTGCTTCAACGACATGCCTCAAGACGACGTAGCTTCGGCGGAGAAAGCCTTGGAATTGGCCTCCCATCATGTCGAGGAAAAACCATCGCCTACGGATACGACCAAAGATGAGGTCGGATACAAAGAGTACTTGGAGAGTTTGGACATAGAGTTCTCGCGAAAGGAAGAGCGCTGGGTTCGCTGGAAACTCGATGTTGGGGCTGGCATGATCATTCAAGACGAACTCTATGCTAACCATTCGCGTTGACAGTTGATCATTCTGCCGATTTTCCTTGTTACGCAACTGCTACAGTTTCTCGACAAGACCGCCCTGAACTACGGTATGTGTGAAAGATAGTACGCCTATCCGAGATAGACGGAGACCATAGCTAATATTCTTCTACTTGGACAGCCAACATATTTGGCTACCAAAAGGCGCTCGGCCTGAAAGGACAGCAGTTCAATTACCTCTCGGCGATGGTCTACGCTGGATACTTCTTCGGAACGTATCCAGCCGGACGACTGATCGGTCGCTACCCGGCGCAGCGTGTCATGGCAGTGTCATGTCTGATCTGGGGCCTCTTGGTAGTGCTCCTCACGCAAGCTCGCACCTTCAGCAGCGCCTTGGCCGTGCGGTTCTTCCTTGGAGTATTCGAAGCAGCAGTCACGCCAGGCCTCACGTTAATGACGGGCTTCTACTACACCCGTCGTGAAATACCCCTGAGACAATGTATCTGGTATTCTGGGACGGCCGTCCAACGCCAATTTGCCTATATAATTCTGCATTTTGTAGCCTGCTGCCGTGAGTCTTCTCTGAAAAGCCGGCATTTTCTTTTTTGCCTCCTCTCTTGGTTGAATGCACGAGCCGTCCAACCTCTCACAGCTACTCGGAGCTGAGCTTGTCGGCTAGCTCTTGATCGAGAATGTCCTCCTTCAAGAAACTCCTCGGCGTGTTGTCGAGCTCCTCGACAGTGGGAACATTAACAGCCTCGTATGAGGCTTGCTGAGCGCTCGGGGTAAGGAGGAATTGCTCGTCGATGTCCACACTGTCAAAGTATGACAGAATCATGGGATAAATCGCAGGATCCCACGAAAACTTGGCCGAGTTGCTGAAGGTAGTCTCGATCAGGACATTGTTGAGCGACTCCGTTCGATCTTGCATGCTTCGCGGCTCTAGCGTCCAGCCAAGTCTCATCTGAAGGCCGTGAGTTGCATGGCCTATAGACACCATACTAACATTGCCAATGTCCCCTGAGAATGGTAGTGAGAGGAAGTCATCTGCATACTTCATCTCCACTGCGGTTAGTGGCCGGCAGTCGTCTCCACGCTCTTGAATCGCACGTTGGTAGAAGATCTCGCACGCAAGTCCTTGATCAGAGTCTACTGTCTCCCACAGCTTGTTGCATATGTTCTGCAATCTCCACATACGAGCAACACAAAATGAGTAGAGTTCATCGAAGCTCCAGGCATCGGGCATGGTTCCAGGTGTGCCGAACCAAGGCGCTTTGTCGTCTGCTGACCGGTCGAACTTCATCTCGAACTCGTTCTCCCACTGCTCAACCATCCTTAGCAGTGCGTCGGTGAAGTCTTCTGGCCAGGCACACTCTTTCTCAAAATGACTCTGCACAAGTCTATTGGCGACCTTGCCCCATGCTGCTTTTGCTTCCTCTGAAACTCCTGCATTAAATTCGCCGCTCAGAGCTTCGCTCCGCAGAACTGCGAATTGTTTCGCATCCACGACTTTGCCCCAATTGCCTTTCATCTCGAAATCGCGCTTTCGCTCCAATGCATTGACCCTGTCGAAGAACTTGAGCAGGTTGCGCTGGAGCGATCTCTTCGCTGCTCGCGACGTTGCTATGCGCATAGCAGCACGGTACTTTCGGATCTCTGGAAGGATGATGAGGAAGTGGTCTTTCTTCGCATACTGCACCACAAGAGCCACGAGAGCTGTGTTTCCCTTCGTGTGCCCCCATGCTGTCCCATCTTGATGCTCATGTGGATAATGTACAGCTTCAACACTCTGCGAGAAAGGTCCATAGTTCCCAACCATGTTGTACTTGTTGCCGGTGTACTGACAACGATACTTGGGTGCAGGGCACACCTTCTGCACGTATTCGACAATCTCCGCCTGCACCGCCGCATGGACGTCCTGGCTTATTGTAGAGGTAGAGCTGACTCCGTACCTCTTGCACTCGCTCTCGTGGCGACGCCTTAGCGCGGTCTTGACAATCTGGATAAATCCAGGATCCTCATCCTTCTTGTGCTGGTAACAGTCAGGGTGAAGATATCGCTGATCATGAAAAAGGATACGGGCGGCACAGAGAACCTTTTTTCCACAGCCATCATCGCAGTAGTGGTAAGACGATTGCTTCTGGTCCTCGGAATGGTTACATCCTACCACATAGTCTCCATCATGGACGAGCTGATTCGTCGAGTCGATAGCCTCTGCAAGGGCAAAATACGCGCGAAGAGCATCGTCGGTCTCTGCGTATACGGACTCTGCCTGAGCCACACATTCCATAGCCAGGCTTGCTCTTGGATCGTTGAGTATCAGCTTTCGAAAGTCGGTCCGGTGAAAATGCTTGCCAGGCACAATCTCGAATCGGATGCTGGATCCAGGGACAAAATGGGTTTTCAGCCCGTGATAGCCGCTTCCGGGTGGGAAGACGACAACCAATCTCTGGGTGTTAAATGTCCCTCTCGACAGGCTTGCATCCAGGTTCTTGTATAGTCTGCTCATCTTTTCTTTCGTTGCGTACAAGTTGGTGAGTTTGTACGACATGTAAACCAAGTGCTTCTCAAGGCCCATGAGCTTTTGACGAGCTGCAGGATCAGACATGTCCAATGTGTCTGTCACTCTCTTGCCAACGTCCAGATGTTCAGGTAGATTCGTCTTAGACTTTCCATCAGGCCACTCTCCCCTTGGAATGGGCACGCATTTTTGCGATGATCCAGTCTGACCAGATGTGGGAGGCGAGGACACGAGCGTAATATGATCGGGGAGCTCGGGATAGTCTTCGTCGAATTCCGGAACGGTGGCGCGGACGATCTGGTAGTACTCGAATGTGCCGGAAGCTTCGCTGAGATATGGAATCCTAAGAACCCAGCCGTCTCTCGTCCAGTTCGGCACTCTGACTTCAAACGCGTCGTCCACTATAATACTCTTGACCAATATACCAAGTTGTTGTACGAAACTCTTGTTGTCAACAGTAAGTGCAACAGCTTCCGTGTTGAATATGTTTTCCAACGCGGTGCCGACTTGCTCCTTGAGCTGTGCGTCGAAGTTCTCTGACCCAACCACTGTCACTCCGCGCACATCTGGACCAGCCTGAGCCCGGCTTTCATTCTTCGCAAGCATGAAACCGTAGCAGCCGCCTGTCCTGTAGACGACTGCGACGTCACCCGCAGCACCACTGGACGCAGATGATTTGAGATTCCTGCGGATTTTCCAAGTTTTATTGGCCGGACACGTCTGAAGCAGCTTCTTCAACTGTTGATGCAACGGTCTTCGGACCCATGACCCGCCATTTGGATCAATCTGGTTTTTCTCGATGAACTCGTTGACGAGCGCCACAGCTTCCAAGCCCCTCTTGCGGTAAGATGACTTTGGGCGCTTCTCAAGGGAATTGATGTCCTCATTAGAGATATCTGCATCTTCTTGCTGAATCAAGGGCCGCGAGCGACTGACAGATGCGGGAGCTGCTTTGGTCTTGACTTTCTTGGTCTTGCTCCCGGCAGTTGAAATGCCAGCCTCTGCAGGTTCAGCATCCGGCAATTGTGCAGCAGAGCGCTTTTTGGGTGGCATATTCACAGAATCGGACTGTGCTTTGATGTGAAGGTCGAAGCCGGGATCGGAACCCCTCGAGGCGAATAGCGGCGACTGACTTCTGATGACTCGGTGCAGCAGTGGGGAGCAAGTCAAACAGGGCTGAAAGTGCGAGAGATGGTTTGTGGCGGCGCAGTGCTCTTGCGGGACTACCGAAGCTAGCTGCGAGGAGAAGGCGTGTAGTTTATGGCAGATTGGTGCTGTTGAGTGCTGCTGCTGGGGGATGCTGAGATACCCTCAGGTGACTTGTGGCAGCTTGGTGCTGTTGAGTGCCGCTGCTGGGAAAATGCTGAGACACCCTTAGCTGACTTGTGCCAGCAGGATGTTGTTGAGTGCTGCTGCTGGGACAATGCTGAGACACTCTCAGATGACTTGTGGCAGCTTGGTGCTGTTGAGTGCCGCTGCTGGGGGATGCTGAGATACCCTCAGGTGACTTGTGCCAGCGGGATGTTGTTGAGTGCTGCTGCTGGGAGAATGCTGAGACACTCTCAGATGACTTGTAGCGGTTCGACGGGCGGCCGAGCTGTGATGGGAGTCGAGCGAGATATGTGCGCCAAGCTTTTTACAGTTCGACGCTGTACTGAGTCCGCGCCGGGATGTGAGATGAATTCCGGCAGATGTCTTCTGGTGGTCGGGGAGACCGAGTGCTCTCGCACTAGGATGGGACTGAAATGACAATAGGTGGATTTTGGCGGTTCGACGCCGGTCTCAGACTTCGTTAGGCCGCTGTAGAGATGGCCAGGCACCACTTCTGGACAGGTCTGTTTGCAGTGAAGTCCTGACAGGTTGGCTTTGAGCGGTGGTGAATTGACGGTTCTGGTGAGGGGAGCTGATTTCGTTTGTGTCTGGGGCACGTGTTTTGAGAACCTTGGCGAGTCCCCCTTTGCGTTTGCTGTCCGCTCAAACCACCGCGACCACCACCCATTTCGCCTTCGTTTACCGCAACCCTCTTTACGCTGAGCACCGTGCGTAACAGTGCCGCGACCAAAGTGTTCACCATGGCCGAATCATCGCAGCTCTCGGCGGTCGCTACAGTGTACGGCGACTTGTACAAGATAATGATGAATGAGTACTTCGCCGGTGACTTTGAGGTAATGACTGAGCCCGTACACGTGCCAGAGTATACTAAACTGTGCAGTCGAGTGACAAACTCGCATACCAGCTACTGAGACACGCCGACCTCCCTACCCTGATCCGCGCCCGGTGTCACATGGCCCTGGCTACTTCTCAAGCACCAGATATCATGGACTTCAAAGATCATGCTGAAGCAGCAGTGAAGATTCTCAAAGACGCCAAAGAGGACGGCTACGTGATCAGTGAGAGACATCTGGAAGAGGCAGAGAGGATCCTTGAGTCAGCGAAGCTTGACTACGAAGCGCTGAAGGAGGCACTCGAGGAAGAAGAGGTCGAACCTGGAGACGGCGAAGCAGCAGCGGCAGAGGGAGAAGAGGAGGGTGAGGAGAGTGTTGACATGTCGAAGGAGGAGGAGACGACCGAAAGCGAAGAGAACACGCTTGCATATGGAGAGACGGACATCGTGGAGAGTGAACAAATGGATACCGAGCATGCTACGTCTGAGGGCATTGAGCCGGAGGAAGACTTGCCAACAAACAGAGACGGTAGAGCTGGTGGAGGAGGAGGTGTCAGAGTCAGTCAAGGCTTGTTGACCTCTGAGAGAGATATACCTTCCGAGAGAGATGACCGTGGCGATGGTAGCGATGATACTGAACAACCAGGAGTATGAAGACAGTCGATCAAGTCAGACGGAGCATAACAAGAGGTGAGGTCGAGCAGAGTTCGACGAACGATCCGATCTCGCTTTCCACGGGCAGGGGCTTGGTGCGATATCGCTCGGTTGACGAGCACAAATGAAGGCAGCCGCAAGAGAGCATTATTGCTTTCCACTTCCACGTCGTCTCCTTTTTATTTTACTGTCTACCTTCACTTAGGTATGGATGCAGCCTAGACCTATCGAGCAGGCACTATGCTATCAACAGCATTGCTGGCTGCATTGAGCCGAGCCTCCTTTCTGAGAAAAAATTATCAAATTTGAGACATGCTGACCTCAGCCCGATGGAGGGCTCTCGCCCAATGCGAGACAGTCTTCGCTATCAAGTGTATTGCTGGCTGCATTGAGATGAGCCTCTTTTCTGAGAACTATCTACCAAGTTTGAGACATACTGACCTCCGCCCCTTCTCTTTTGGCTACAGATGATTATTTGGCACCCGCGTATTCTGTTCCGCAAGGCTGTCCTGTTTGAGCGCCGGTCTATCCGCCTTACCAGCTGTAGTCTACGGCCGTCAGCATACTGCAACCCTTCGAGACTCAGTAAACAACTTACACCCCCGTCCACCGGCATGATCAGCCCCGTAATCCACTTCGCCTCTCGACTACAAAGAAACAACACCGCATACCCAACATCCCACGCATCACCCTCCCTCTTCATCAGATTCTGCCCGATCCTCGCCATTCTCATCTCCTCCGTCATCCCCCGTCCCCTCACCATCGGGGTGAACACCATCCCCGGAGCAACACAATTCACGCGGATGTTCTCCTGCCCGTGCTGCGCCGCCATCGCGCGGGTCATTTGGATTATGGCGCCTTTAGTGGTCGGGTAGAGCAGTGAGGCGTTCCCGCCGAGCAGCCCGGAGACAGACGACATGTTGACAATGGAGCCACGACCGTTTCGACGCATGTAGGGGATTGTGTGCCGGACGGTGAGGACCATGCTGGTTAGGTTTCTGCACAGGTCGCGGTCCCAGGCGGTCATCTAGGGCGGTGGCGTCGCCCATGGCGCCGCCCACGCCGACTGTTGGAGTGATCAGCGATATCAACCGTTTAGACGGTAGAGGCGGATCAACCAATATTAACCAAGACATCCACCCTGCCAAACGCCTCCACGACCTCTTCCACGGCTCTCTTGACGCTCGCCTCGTCCGTCACATCAACTTGGAAAACCTCAGAGACTTCCCCTTCCGCATCGATCATCTCCTTGATGTCTTGAGCCCATTGGTCGTTCGGGTCGAACAGAGCGACCTTGGCTCCCTGTCTTGCCAGGAGAATGGCACAGGCGCGGCCGTTGCCTTTTTCGCCTTTGAATCTGGATCCTGCGCCGCTCACGATGGCCACGTCGCCGGCGAGGTCGAAAGCTGGTTGGGGTGTTGATGGCATGTTGGATGAAGTCTGAGCCGCTCGGGGTGAACAGAGCGATGTAGGAAGTACGTATATTGATGTGCTTCCACCCCGGAATTGATCGAAAGCTTTTCCGGTTGTAAGCTGGAGGGAATTCCGGATGGAAATGTGCTGTCGAGCACGAGCGGCAGCTTCGAGCAATCTCCACCCTGCTGCGAGGGAAATTTATCTTATGATGAGACATTCACTAGTAGTATCATGCGATTGTGGGTTTCGTCTATCAAGTTGATGCATTACTTCAGACTATGCCGAGAATGATTACCCCTGAAAGCCGAGTGTCCATAGTACATGTCGGAAATCCTTGTTTTCAAACTCAGTCTGATCTCCCATACCAGACTCGTTACTTCTCAACGTATCAGCCGGACCGTACTCGTGGCCTCGATGCTTGTCCACTGTCATCAAGTACGCTGCCCAAGTTAAGATTGTAATTCCTAAGAGAAGGCCATTTGGTGTACTCGCCGAGGAGCAGCAGATCGCAGCCCGTCTTGGTCGAGTATCCAGCCAAAAGGCCCGCAATCGCTGAAGAAACGTCTGCAGCCTGAGCCGCCTTAACAAGTAGCGGACCTGCAAGCTGCGCGGTGCTGGAACCAAATAGACATTATTAGCTCCGGACAGTATCAACCATGGCTCCTCAGTACCTACAAACTTAGCGTATTCGAGATGTTTCGATCAGTATAGGCGCCCATTCGCGAGGAGATCATCCCCAACGAGATGGCGAAGTCAACAGACTGTGCGTAAAGTAGCCAGCGGACCCCATATGTTTGATCGTAGGAGGTAAGCCATGCATGGGGAGGCCACAGTGCAGAGGACATTGATGACGGTGGCGGTCGCCAGCCTTGAGTTGGTTACGTTCTATGTGACGTTGCCGCCAACGAGTATTGTCACAATTTGCACGGCATCGCTAACGATTTCGAGCTGTAGACGTGTCAGTCGCAACCATCATAGAAAAACGCCATGAGTGCGTACCTCATTGATCTTTGTCGTTGAGAAACTCATCTCTCGAATGATCACAATGCCGGACGAGTTGACTATGCCGTTCGGAATTGCAGCAGCGACGATAGAGATAGAGAGCAGAATGGCCTTGGGGTCGGTCAGAGCAACTCCTTTCCGGACTTCTCGTTTTGATGCCTGTATCATTGCCAGCCACACGTTTCACCGCGATCAGGCATTCTCGCTCATGAAGAAGTCGGGCATTCGCCGGAGAGTCCGGGAGAAAGAAGTATATGAAGAACGCCCAGATCATCGCAATGCCGCCCAGAATGAAGAAGAGAATCTCCCAGCACTCTGGGCGAATCATTTCTATAGTTTTGGATTTAGGGACTCGTTATTCGACTTCGAAGATCAGGACAAGACTTCGTCGCAAGCACATTCAATTTCGTTAGTGACTCGTCATTCGACATGGGGGATCACAACAAGACTGCGTCGCGAGCACACTCAGTCTCTGCGTGGCCTCGTCGTTCGACATCGGAGATCAAAACGAAACTCCGTCGCAAGCACACTCAAGCTCTTCATAGCCTCGTGATTCGACATCGTAGATCAAAACAAAACTCTATCGCAAGCACACTCGAGCTCTTCATGGCCTCGTTGTTCGACATCGTGGATCGGGGTTAGACACCCTTGTACACGTTCTCAACCTCGTCGACGCTTCGTTGTTCGACTCGCCGTTGCTCTATACGGACCATCGTCCAAATACTTTTTGCCTTCTGATAAACACTCGTATTCGACGAAACGTTTCGACGTATGTCTTTTCATTGCTTACAGATGCCTTAATCGAGCATCACTTTTCGACCAGCGTGTTCGTGCTGCCGTCTAAGAACATATTCGTTCGACATCTTAATTCATTACAAGGAGCTGGTAAGCTTTGGAAATGCATTTCTGTTCGACTATGGTCGTTGGTAGTCGCCTTCCATTTGCCTCTAGATTCGGTATCAAGGTTCAATTTGAGTAGAAGGCAGACTTGGGAAAGCCTCGCCATTCGACAGCCTTAGTAGTATCGCCATCGTTGACGAGCTCCGTTGTTCGACATTTCGTTTCATTTCGAGGATGCTTCCCTACATGGATATCCTAGAGTCTGTTTCGTCTTTGCCTTTTTGGCGTGCATGTTCGACGCCGTTCTTTCAATCTAAGAGTACACACCGTGCAGGAAAAGCCTTCCTGTTCGACATTCTGTTTCTCGCACCGTCCGCGTGTTCGACGAATGTACTTGGGAACAGACATCCGTAGCACATAGGATTCGACGTCGAAGTACATCTTCGAAAGTGTGAAGACCCCTGCGTTCGACGAGGTTAGTTGTTTTGGAGCAGAAGATTTTAAGTATACTTTTTAATTTCAAAACAAATGACTATATAGTCCGCTTTTGTTGAATCCCATAGTCTCCGTAATCAGTATCGTACATCCCCATCCGCTTTTGTTGTGTACCTAGAAATACAAGTCAAGGAAACATCATAGTGTGAAAATCATCATCCAGCTTGCTCCATATATTGGTGTTCGACGAACTCCAATATTAGTAGCCTTAATCTCCCATGTAGCCCTCATCGCAGTATTCTCCCTCTCTAGTGATCGTCTCCGTGTTCGACGGCGCGACTTGCTGGCTGAAGGCGTTCGTGCCATTATTCGACACGTGAGCTTGGCTAGTGATGCCTGCGTTCGACGAACCACTTTGGTCTCCAGGGACGTTCTTGCTATTGTTCGACATACTGCCGTGGGCAACAGCCTCTCCGTTCGACGCAACAAGTTGCTTCTCCAAGAAAGTCTTGCCATCGTTCGACGCACTGCCTTGGACGGGGTCCTCTGCATTCGACATTCCGACTTGGTTGGTAGCCTCTCTGTTCGACGCAACGAGTTGCTTCTCCAAGAAATTCTTGCTATCGTTCGACGCATTGCCTTGGACAGCGTCCTCTGCATTCGACGTTCCAACTTGGTCGGCAGCCTTTCCATTCGACACACTGCTTTGGGAATCCAAAACTTTCGTCCGCTTGTTTGGCAGATCCATCATCGTGGCAGCCTCTCCATTCGACGATCCGACTTTGCCATCAGCGTCTATGTTCGACGCACCGCTCTGTCCGTCTGCGACTTTCTTGCGCTTATTCGACTTATCGATTTGGTCACCCACTTGGGTGTTCGACATCCGATCTTGGGCCAATGGTGTGTAGGTGGGATGGACTTGGTTCTTGGTCGAGCTGTTCGACGGCTGGCCATGAGGTCGAGGTGCAGCAGATGGGTGAGCCGGGGCGG